CAGTAAACTCGTGAACCACCGTTTCATCTCACCCTGACCAATTCCAAATTTGATACATAAACATCTACAACTGAAGCTAATCACCTCCAGTGTTGGTTAATCTCCTGAGCTGCCATCAACTTTATTTCTCAGGAAAACCTTGTGAGAAGATGACTTCTCTTTATAATGGTGATCAGTGCGTATCAGTGTTCGAAAAGTAGGTTACTTCTGGTGAAGAAATCAACTGATACTGACATACTCTTGCTGTAACTCACACTCTCAGACCCACACAACTTCCTGATACTATCGCCTGAAGGTTGGAAAAAAAAAAAAAAGAATTCATATCTCACTTCCAGCGAATTGAAACAGACACCGATGAGGGTTGATGTTTCACAACATTAAAGATTGGCTGCCGGCACATGACAGACCGCTGATGCAATGTATAGATTACTGTAGGGCTGCACGGTATATGCGGTAGACGGTAGAAATGATATAAACTTGGCCCACGGTAGAGATTTGCGCTCTACCGTCCTATCGTCGATGACGTCATCGCACCTGCCTCAGTGCAAAAATGGCTGCGAGCACAGAGACAGCGGAGCAAGAGGAGCTGATTCACGTCCGTGATTTAGCGTAGCACGTGCAACATGTGTTGCTGGAGAACTTGTGAGTGAGTGAGTTAATGTCTTATGAACAGCCCCGGACTTCTCAGACTCTTTTAGCGACTTACCGCTCAGAGTGAACTCATTCAGTGTCTCCTCTGGCAGCAGCACAGCGTCTCTCCCTCTCCTCTCTCGCCGCACGCACACGGGAGTTGGTTTTCAGCAAGAGAGTTTGTCATAAACCTTTGGTAATGTAAACCTATGTGACGCTAGGGGCTCCACAAAAAACTCCATATGTGAATGTGTGATAGTTGTGGTATCATAGCAGCCTGTCACAGGTTACAGCCTGATGATTAGAGGAGAAATGGCAGAGCATAAAGGTCCGGGTGGAAAAAACACAACTCAGTCATTTAGGATTTTGCTAAAAGAAGGAAATTACCTTTTGATATAGATCCCAGGGGACATTTTGCACCATAGAGTACTGGGTTTTAATTTTGAGTTTTGAGATCTGCATTCTGCACAATAAATGCTCTAAAGATACATTATATCTTTGCTTTTGTTGTTTTTTTTTTTATCAATTAAGCTTTGCTAAGGGACTACAAAACCCATTCAGAAACACTTCTATTATAACTTTTACACTTAAATTTATACCGTGATAAATACCGTTACCGTGAAGGGATTTGATTTATACCGTGATATAAATTTTAGGTCATACCGCCCAGCCCTAGATTACTGTAAAGAATGACAGCAGATATAGAAACGCTCCTTGTGGCATGCACAAACAGACACACAGGTGCACTGCATGCTAGAGTGGAAACAATTGAGTAATCGATCTAGAGATGCTAAATGCCAAAACTCACTGTTTTTAAAGACTTCTTAGGCTTTGGGATATTGGGGTGGGTATTGCTCTGTTGATATTTTATAGAACGATCAATTGTTGAATTTAATTGTTGGTGTCTGTATTGGCCTTCAATTCCCTTAGTCACACGAATAGAGACACTATGGTTTTATTTTATCAGTAAGTCTGTCAATCACAATCTGTCATCAAATGTAAACAAGGGTGTAAACACAGAGTCTACGTGAGGAATAACAATAGTAATAATAATAGTAATAATAATAATGATAATGATAATAACAATAATTATGTCTGAAGCCAGCAATTAGAAATGTTTTAAAATCAACTGGAAACCACTGCAAAGAGGCTACAATTTGGATTATGTTATCTTTTCTATTTACTGTGAACAAAAGACTGGCCACAGCATTCTGTATGAGTTGAAGGTGTGAACAGGCTTTACCACTCAGGTTAGCAAACAGAGAGCTGCATTAATCACTTCTGATAAAGATAGAGTATACAAGTCAGAGAGTGAAAAAAAACCCTACATATTGAAACAATTTCAAATTAATGCAAAAAGGGACTGGACTAGATTTTTAAAGTAAAGTTTGGAGTCCAAAATTAGGTGCAGTGTAAAGTGTCAGATTGCCAAATTCTATGAGTTCAATGAGCAGAAAAAGACTATTTTGTTAAACTATTAGACATTTAAAATTGGATTATTAGCCAAAAAGCATCCATCCCTGTGACAAACTTGCTGTGCTAACAACAGCGGAAATGTGCAACATTTTTGCTACTATACTAAATATCAAACAAAAGCCAGAGACTGTGTTTCAAGTTGCTGTGAGCCGAAAAATTCACCACTTCGAGGAAGCAGAGAGGAGATAAAGTTATGTCAGAGCCTCACGGTGCAGAGTCTCTCCTCCTCCCTCTTTGCATCGTGTTTGCAGCAGCTTGTACCAAACAGTATTGTAAAAGTTATGAGCACTCACTCTGGAGCAAAATCTTGGGACCAAAACGTCTGACTGATGATTTGAATATCCAACTTTCAGGGGACAGCCCTATAGATCACCATATTTGTGCAAGATTAGAAAGTAATGAGAGAAGAGGCCTGATCTATGCAACATCCACACACTTGTTCAGGTTTTGTTTATTTTGCCTAAAATATTCCAGTGCGGTTTACAACAGCCAGGCCAGTATTTCATCACATGCTCAAGTTATGAGTCATCATCAACTGATACAAAACAAGATTAGGCAAGCCTGGTTTTGCGAGATCGCATGTGAAGCCAGTTTAAGAGATTCACAGAGTGACCAGAATGAGTTTACCGGGGCGTTTACTTTCCACACGAACTCTGGACAAAGTGCAGTCTGCTACATGTTGCTGTGCGATATGGTGCGATTTTTGGTCAATTAACACAACGTGCAGAAGGGACTGTCGATTCATTGAGGAGTGTCAGTGGCTCTCTTTAAGGGGAACTTAGTTGGCTGTTTATTGTCGTAAAAAAAAACCTGCTGAATCTAGAAATACAGTTGCTAAGTTTGCAACATTGGGGAGATTTTAAATGCAGTGGTTCCCATACCAAGAGTCAGGATACACCAAAGGGGGATGCCAGATGGGATAGGAAGGGAAGAAACAGAATAAGGAAAGAAAGAACAAAGACTGGAATAAAGCAATCTGACAAGGAATAACCTGTTGTTGTTTGAACTGGTCATTCACCCTGTGATGCAGGGAGACATAGCTTGGTTTATAGGGGTAAAAAGCCAAAAACACTGTTAACTAATAGCCCACTGGATCTCCTTAAAACTGTTCTGCAATGAGAACAAGATGCAAAAAGAACCACAACAATTCTGAATCATGCCTAAGGGGAGCAGATGAGTTTCACAGTTTGATTTATTTGATGTCATGTTAATAACAAAACCTCTTCCAGGTGCAAAATGAGTGTACCACAGATGATTCAACTATTGTCAAAGTGGTCAAATATGTCATAGACAAACTGATAACAACTTACAGTATTTGTTCGTCTTTGTTAGCTTAGCCAGTAAGATGGTGACGATGGGATTGTCAATCTCACCATGTTATACAGCCCATATATGACATTTCTCTCTAATACTGTTTACATTTGTGTCTAAATTGTCAACAGCGTACTTGAATAATGTCTCTACTCTCTTACTAGTTTCTTGTATTGTTCTGTTTACTATTCTCACTGCATATTTTACAATCTATTTGTCTTATGCGCTGATGTATCCTGCTGCAACAAGCCAACTTCCCCACAGCGATCCATAAAGTTTCATCTTATCTGTTTATGACCACAGAGAGATCTGTTTCTATTTGCACGCTCATTCACGTGTTCGCTCTTTCTCTCTCGTCACTGTTTTCACACACAGCGCATGAGTAAATCTCTCAAATCTAGGTCTGAGGCTGCTGGGAATCCGCAGGTTTCATCTTACAGAAGGGAAACACATCGAAACCAGCCTTCCCCCATTCTGCAAACCCCCCTCCACCTTCCTCCTCCATCCTCTGAAAAGGGACTGAAAAGCTGGAGTAACTGGTTTGGCCTTTTAACAGCGGTGTTTTAACAGCATGTCTTCCCTCTTTTTTTTCCTCTTTCCTTCCTCCTCCCTCCCTCCTTTGTTCTCTCTCTCTCTGGGGAAGCTCAGACGACAGGTTTGAGCACGTATAAACATGGCGGAGAAAAAAAAAAAGTCTTCAGAAAACTAATGCTAATGCTTCTATGTCAATCTTCCTTTTCATTGTGTTCTTCACCTCTACTGGGTGTAACGAAACTGGTGATGTGACAATATAAGCAATACACAAATATATAAACTGAAGCCAACTCAACTCTGAGCTAAGTGGTTACAGTGGTGAGATTGTGACTGGACGGTCGCTGGTTTGAATCCCAAAATTAGTTCAGATATTTGGACAGAAAGAGTGAATACATTTGATTTCAGAGGGCAGCACACAGGTGTGAATTTGTGCAAGTCCTGATTCTCAGAAATTAAAATTTAATGCTATTATTTAGGTGCAAGAGATCCAAGAAAGCTGATTTTCTTCCATAATACACAATACAAAGTTATATTTCTTACTATTTTCAATCAGGTAGCCATTGGTTAGTGACTTAATATCTTATCAGAAAATCCAGCCACCTGATGCAACTGCAGACCTGAAGTTATTCTTTGTTGGTAAATGGAACATTGCGTTGATTCACTCAGAGTGCTGAAGTCACGCTCGCATTAAAGGGAAACTTTGCTGATTTTCGACCAGGTCTGTTTCACAGCAGTGTGTGCAAAATGCATTACGGTGGTGTGAAATGTGTCATTGATGATGCATTTCCTGTCACCCAGCAGCTTTTGCTCACAGTATGGGGGGCAACCCGGTGCTTGCGGCACAGGGGGAAGCCTGGCGCCATTCATCTGCACACACAACACAACGCCGTGACATAGACCTGGTTGAAAATCTGCAAAGTTCCCTTAACTGATTGGCATTGACTGATTTCATTTCTGATAGTGGACAGTGATGTGCAATTATATGTCAGGGCAATGAAACACCAATGCAGCATCTATTTCAAGTTGAACCCAGAGAAGTGTTTTCTTACCTGTGTGCGTCCTTTGGTGTGCCTTGAGATGAGAGCTCTTTGTGTAAACTTTGGTGCAGCCTGTAAAGAAATCAAAGACAAAGATCATGAGCCAGGCTGACAGCGGAGAAGTGCTCACCTGGTGCAAAGTTTACATTGGCCATAAAGCTGTTATCCACAGAGAAAATGTGCCATTTCTTGACTTTGTTTTTCACCTGTGACCCAGTGAGAATGACATACCAGCAGACAAACACACACTCGCCAACCAGGATCTTTTGTAAGGGAAACCAAGTGGACCATTCCAAACAACTAGTCTCATACACTCCCAATTAATCAAAGTCTTGAAGGCTGAGAATGACTAATTGAGAGCAATGTTTTTGCAGTTTGTAATCAAATATGCCGGCAACCTGGAATCTGTGCGACACGTAAAAGAGAGGTGGTGTATTACTGACAGATTTGCATTTGTGCTTTTGCTTTGAGTTTATTTACACAACAGTGACATTGGTAGAAAGCAATTTGAACCAACTTGTTGGAGTGGTTTTGTTGAAACTTGTTTTGTTTTCATTAGTTATTTTTGTCGCAAACGGTTAATAAATCCCAGGAATCCATGCAGGGCTTAAGCTTCTCATTGTGTGTGTGTCTCGTGTTAAAAATGGAGGCATGGTAGTGGCGCTTCAATGTTTACTTTGTGTGTATGGGCAGATATTGGATGGCATGCTGGTTTGTATGATCCCAAAGACGCTCTGCATGTGATCAGTGGTATATGTTCTGCTCACTGCAATATTGGATGTAGAGCACAGTACAGAAGCAGAGTGCATGACCGGCATGTATCATGTAGCAGGAAAGCTCCAGAAAAGTCAACAGAAAGAAGGAAATTGCACCAAAAAGCCTGATAATGACAGTGAATTGTGTGTTTTAGTTTGCTTTTCAGACAGCACTGGTAGTTACCCTGTGAGAGGTAACAAACAGTCAGATTATTTCCATGACACTGTCTTTTAGCTTGTAGAATAATCTGTTTATGTTCAAGACATTGTCACTAAAATCAAAGAACACAAACGACAAAGAAAAGATGTTTCCTGTCGCCAGTGGAGAATTATTTCCTCACTTTATGAAAAGTCATTGTAAAATTAAGACAAACATGTTTCAAATTTAAAAGTAAAATGCAAATAAAACAGACCTGGGTAGTCGCAGAAGTGGATCCTCCTCTTCTCCAGCTCTGGGTTGTTCCGCCTGTTGTATTTGGGACCTGTCAGGACACCCTGGCCGTGTGTCATGAGCAAAGCATGCGGAGACAACCCTGTCAGCTTTATCCCTCCCAGACGCTGCTGGTATGGAGGCGGAAGTTGGGGCGCTAAGCTGAGCAGCTCCGCCTGAACGTCTGGGCTCCCTGGCTGAGAGTTTGGGGGTGAGGGTGGCAGGCTGTGGGGTGCTGTGTGCTGGGATGAGTTGGCCGGAGAGGCCTGGTAGTAACTGTGATGCTGCGGTAGCTGATGCTCTACCATCATGTAGTTGCTGTTGCTTGTTGGTAACGCAACATTGCCGAGGTTCAGCATGGTCCTGCCACTCGTGGAGGCGTGTGCAGACGGGCTGGTTTGGGTCAGAGTCATGGTGAGGTCAGCAGCGCTGGTGATGGGCATGTGGTAGACCTGTGGCTGGGGGGCCGGGGGGCCGATGTGAAGCTCTGTGTCCAAATTTGGCTGCTGCTGCTGCTGCGACCCTACAGGCGCAGTCACCACTCCTCCAGAGCTCATGTCTGGTTTGATGAAAACATTGTTGACTACAGGCGGCATGGTGAACACAGAGGTGAAGTCTGGCAGGGCCTGGGTGGTGGTGTTGGGGATGGAGCAGGGCACTTCGAGCCCGGGCTCTATCTTGATCTGCTGTGGCGTGAGAGTCTTGGTGTTGGCCCGGTAGAGGCCTGTGCGGAGATGAGTGGTGCTGGGAAGGATGACGTTGATGTTGAGGCTGTAAGGGGTGCCAGTTTTGTCCTCAGAGAAGTACTCGTCAACGACAGAGGCGCTGTCTCGTCTGTATTTCTTGTCAACGGTGTCAATCAGGTTGCTCAAGAGAGGACTGTTGACCTGGGGGAGGTATTTGTCCAACTCTAGTCGAGTCTGAAAAGAAACAAAGGAGAGGAAGAGTAAAACATGTGTAATGAAACTGCAATTTACCACAAGTTTAACTAGTTATTTTGTAGAGCCTGATCCTCACTAAGTGATTTCCCAAATGTCTTACTGAGCCTTACATAAGAGTATGAACCTGGTGTCAGTCAGAGTTGAGCACACTGCCATGCAAACACAACAACTTCTTCTATCATCTTCTAAAATGCTGCATCGTCACTCCCAGGGTTTGGGGTTTAATTTCCACTAAAGCATTTAACCAAAGTATCAGCTATAGGACACTGTGGAAACATCCACAACAGCAGCTGCAGCTACTGTTTGGCACAATATTTGTTTAACATCGACATGGACAGAGTATTTGTTTAACTGCTGTAATTATTTTGTGAGATTAATTGGCTGCAGATGGTGATAAGGTGACTGTGAAATGGCTCAGTTCCACCCAATCCACAGTTAATAGAATGAAGCCAAAATACATACAGATGTGTGTACTGTATATATATGCATTGAGGTGAGAGACAGCAGAGTAATTAAAAGAGAGTGAAAGCTGTTTTAGGATTAAAGAAAGGTTTTAGAGAAGTGGGTACCAAGACCACCTCCTTCATCCCTTCATCATCCTCCCCTCCTTCATACCTCACATTCCTGTTCCCCAGTGGAGCTCACTGCCCTGACTAACAGTCAAAACCAGGATGAGAGACCGACAGCTAGAGGGATTCCACCTATCCAGATGTATGTTACTCCTTTTACATTCAGGGCTGCAACATGTTTCACTAGTTAGCACCTGCTGCATGCTGGGAAACGAATTAATCAGTGATAAGTAACTGTTTGGTTGGAATTAAAATCTGCAAACTGTCATAGATTCATAAAAGCAAATAGTGAATATTTATTGGTTGTTGCTTTATTCATGTGCTAATCATTAGGTGGGTCTCGCAGCTGATATAAAAACAAAACCTAGACACTAAAAGCTTTTCACTTTGCTGATTTAAGATCTCATTGTACAACAGTTGTTTCTTAGGGAAGTGATGTGTTTTACATTTCCATTTCATCTGGGATAAAGATGGGAAGACGCAATCAAGCCACAAGAAATACAAAGATCAGTATGATGCAGTGCACTTCAGGTAAAGAAAAGGGAAAAAGGAGAGAACTGGACAGGTCACCAGACTATCACAGGGCTGATACATGAGCCCTTTTTAAATAGGAATTGTGCAAATTTGCAGGAAAGCCCAATCAGTCTTCTTTCAGCATTGGCAGTATAAACTCAAAATCGGGGAGTGCGGCAAAATGCTGCCTACCTACTTTTGTTCATACAGAATACACCTTTTTCGGGGCAATGGGGGGCGTGAGCAAGTAACAAAACGTGTAGCTCAGCGCGTGACGTAAACAGTGACGTGGGAGGGAAGCTGCGGCTGATCAGTCCTTCTGTGATTCTCTCGTAAGTCGGGCCGTTCCGCACCATTCCCGTCATTTGCCGGTTAATGGCCTCTTCGGTTGCGAGGACAAGGAGTTGCTCATCTTTACAGTGTCTGGCAGGTTTCCCTCTTGCTACTAGCTGCTCGCTAATTCCTGCTATCAGCTGTTTCCTGTTTATCCACCGCCAGTGGCTCGCACATGCGGCGTCATCAACTAAATTGGGCACCTCGGATCAACTCGCCAATCCGGCTCCATGTGTCTAAAGGCTCGCAGCTTGCTGGCAACCCTATGGACAATTTAGAGTCACCAATTAACCTGCATGTCTTTGGACTGTGGGAAGAAGCTGGAGAGAGAAAAACCAGAGAAAACCCACGCTGGTTTGAAGCAGGAACCCTCCTCCACTCCTCTCCACCTCAAAATTAGCCCAGTAAAACCTAGTGATAACTGCAAATATTGGTAAAACTAGCAGTCATGTGCACCTGACAGCCACATTTGGTCGCTGACTACCTGTCTGAAAATGCATTAACATTTGAGACAGATGTCTGAAATAGATGCACCACCACCACAGTCCATTCTATATCTTTTCCAACATAAGAGTGGTGTTTTTCTTTCTTAAGTGACTGTTTTTCGCTGAGAGGTGATACCACAGACATATAACATGCAGAGAGTCTGTTCCCTAGAAAACAGTCAAATTAAATAAACCAACTCACACAAATCACAAAGTGAGTTAAAATTGCCGGTAGCAGCAAGAATTCACCTCTTAAATGTGCAACTTCATGCAAAGCTATAAAACCTATTTCATTAATTGTCTATTCACTCTAAATGATGAAATCCTACATAATCAGACTATTATCTGACAAACTGCTGACTTCTCACAAAACATCTGTACATTCATGTTTTCATATGTGCTCAGGTTTGAAGTAGATGAGATCTTGTGGGGAAAACAGTGATGTCAGGTATTTTCAAACACCGAACAAAACTGAACAATATAAGAATGAAAACCTGATGACAGGTGTTGCTGTTTTGTTTTTTTATGTTATAAGGGCGACGCAACAGTCAATCAAATCTGATCCGATCTACTTGCGTAACAGATGATAAAGGTGAAGAAACTGCGGATTTGTTGAAATAGAGAGAGAGAGGTTTTTTAAGCGACAAGACCAGACAGGTGGAGGATTGTCTAAGAAAATAAATTGCAGGTATTTTTCTCCCTGTTTAAGCAGAGGGCATTATCTGATCTTAATCCTGATTAACTCGTGTGTGTGTGTGTGTGTGTGTGTGTGTGTGTGTGTGTGTGTGTGTCATTCAGAGTCTATGAAGCAGAGACTCACTCTTTTAGAGGTGCATTAGCCGTTTCGTAAAGAATCTGTGCTGCAGAGACCGACCACCACACCGAGGAACATGTGCCACACAAATGCAAAAAAGCAAATGTATGTCTGCGAGCACAAACCTACACAAATGAAGGCATGCATGCGCAGATGCACGCCAATATACCGACACACAATCAACTACACACGGGCACACAAACAGAGAGTTCCTTCCATGGGTGTGGCCGATGGAAGTGGTTCGATGCGTGAAGAATATGATGAGAAACAAAGCAATCAGCCAAACCAAAACAAAGGCTGAAGGCATGAGAAAGATGTGGCGAAACGTAAACATAGTCAGGTAAAAATAGACCTGCCAGACAAATCTGATCATCGCAGTGACAACAGATACATGGTTCTGAAAAAAGGATGAAGGGAGGGAGGAAAGAGAGCAAAACAAAATAGAAGGAAGTGAAAGAGAACAAAAGACCACGAGAGAAAGAGGGAGAAAATGACTGAGCAGCTAATTATGAAACTGATATGATGCAAGAATGAGGGCAGCTAACCCGATGAGGACAACAGAATGGATTCAAAGCGACGGTTGATCAGGAAACAGCTCACACACACCTGATGGGAAATCTGCACATTTCTGAATTCATAGAAACATGCTGTACATTTTGCTGCTGCACAGATGTAACAACAGTTCTCATTTCTCTCAGTTGTGTAACCAAACGCATGTTCAAAATAATTCTTACTCTTTACTTTTTTTTATACACTGATTGATTTTTTAAACAACCATGAAAAAAAACAGGAAGGGTTTGGGGGATCCTTTTTATGCATTCTGGCACCTTACTTACATTCAAAGTACAAAAAAAATCCCATTATGAAGCTATTTATTTTCATTGTGATTAATAAAATGGTCAGCAGGCCACATGTTACCGTTATGTGGGCTGGATCTGGCCCATGGGATGTAAGTTTAGTATCGCTGCCCTACAGAAACCATAACCCAGAGTGTACAGTGCAGTCCTGGACTGGATCGAATGAACTGGGACAAATGACCTAACGAGGTGCTGATGTGCTCGAGGTCGTGTCCAATCAGCTGAACAGGAGGCACAAAGCAGCAGAGAAGACCTGTTTCAACACTCGTATTGTGCAACGCTGCTTCAAGTGCCAGCGCCATCAACACACAAACACACACCCCACAGCCCCTAATAATCTGCTGATATATTTTCATACACAAACTTTAGAGGGTTATTGTTTTTTGGGCAGCTGGAGGGGTCAGTTCTTTGTGTGTGCATGTGTGTGTAAATACTGTATAAACATATTTGTAATGTGAAGGATATGTTGTGTTAAATGTGATCTTGAAATGTTTCTGTTTTCATCACTGGCTCCATAATTTCAGGCTTTTTAGAGCTTTAGTTCAGTATTAATGCACATTCAGCTGGTTTTAAGCAGATATAATATCAGTTGAAAGTGTTTAAAACAATGCAACTCATCTTTTTCAAATGGTAAGCTGCACATTTGTTTTTTTTTCAAAGCTCAGTACAAACAGAAAAAATGTGTTTCTGTGTAAGTGTCTGAGTATGCGTGTGTGTGTGTTTAATCACTGGTGCTCACGGTGGCTAATAGATGCCCATCGTTCGTCGCCGGTGAACTCACACCACCTTGTCATCAGTGCAATCTGAGCGCTGGGTGAAATTAAAGTCTTGGGTATTTACTGAGGGGAAAAAAAAGACAACAAATACAGCCTCTCTGTTTCCGTCCCTCTGAGGGCTCCTGTGTGCCTCTCGGGCCGGGACACAAACAGGCCCTGTGCTGCGGGGGCTGCTGGCAGCTGTAACCCTTGGGTGCCCTTGGTCACTTCCCCTGCTGGCCTGCTGTTGATCCCTCTTGCTGTCAAGCTCTGCTCCCTGATTTGCTTGCATCGTTTTTCCACTACTGGCAGTTCCCTGTTTAGCTTTTAGAGAAAGGCTGTTGGGATCAAGGCAGGATGCTGATGCAGTTTCTGTAACACAGAGCCAGGTACAATTTTGCACCGAAAGTTTAAATACTGAAGTTATTTTGAAGTTTAAACCTAAAAAAAAAACAAGAATGCCTTTATTTATGTGTCTGCATGCAGTGCAAAGATATGCTGAAGGCTTAGGTTAGCCTGGCTTAGCTCAATTTGTGGATGGCTATGAGATAAACTAGTATCTTATCTCAAAATAAAAGAAGTGCAAAAAAGGTGGACTGTCTAACACTTTAAAGTAAATCCTCCCCTGGATTTAAAAAAAAAAAAAAAAAAAA